GGTCCCTGCCTGTGCCAGGGAGCTGCTCAGGCTGCTGAGCTGGCTGCCAGGACAGCCCAGATTCGAAGAAATATTCCCCAGTTTCAAGAAATATACTCTAGCACAGCGGCTTTCCACTTGGAGGTCTGTGGAGGATCAAGAGAACCTGCAAAGGGCAGCGAAGGGAAAACAAGGCCATTACCAGGAGCTCTGTATTTACTGTTTAGGGGTCTATACCTCTGCTGGAAGTTTTCTAGGTTGCTTGCAAAACTGAAGCGGTTTGAAAGTCACTGAGATCTAGAGCAGAATCTGGGAGGCAGGGCCTTTGCTTCTGCCGATCCCCCGAAATACCTGGAGCAGGTCACCTCCCCCCTTGTATCAGCCTTGCCTTGCACGAAACAAATAAGCAATCCACTGCCTCGAATAAAGCAGGTTCCCACGGCTCAGTGAAAGGGTTAATGCACGTGCGAAGCACTGTGTTACCCACAGAAAGGGCCCAGACACAGGGATGCAGTGGGTGGTGGCAGGAGCTCGGTCGGCCTTACACGGGGCCCTGACGTCGCGTAAGGGATGCCCACGCACCACTGCATTGCTGCTGCTGCTGCTGCTTACTTGAAGCCAAGGAGGGAATGCCAGGGATCTCGGAGGTTGGAATCCAAGGGATCCTAGAGATCTCCAAGGAGGGAATCCAATGGATCCCAGGGATCCGGGAGCCCTGACATGGTGCTGGCACCCTGCCCTCCCCAGCCTGCAGAAGACACTGCTGTAACGAGGCGGGATAAATGCTCTCAGCCTCACGCCTGGCCAGTTGCGTGGTTCAGCGTTTCTGATATAAAGCAATATTTAGCCTCCAGAAGAAGCCTGTGCACGAGACAGGGAGACCTGGACCGGCTGTCAGTCGGATGGGGCTTTCCTTCTGGAGCTGGGGGCAAGCCGTGAGCCTGCGAGCATTCAGCTCAACAACCACTTGGCATCTGTCGGGGTGTGGAGAGAGCGCCCGGCTTGCAGAACAAGCGGCACAACCCCTGCCCCCTCCCAACACGTCATCCACCTTCCTTCTCTTTGTCTTGTTTCCTCCTGCTCTAAGCTAGCTGGATCCCAGCTGACGAGCCCAGCGGGGACCCAGCACACGAGCGCTGTCATCCCGGCGTGAGCCCTCCTCGTCTCTGCCGCGGCTGATGGCGCGCGCGGCCCCGCATCGCGATCTCCGCGGAGCATCGCCATTACCCAGCCTGACGCTGCCCCCCCTTCAGCTGTTTGTTGCACTGATGTGATATTAATGAGGCCTGCAAATAAATGAATAGGAGATCAGAGTGCCTCTTGTTCGCAAGAAAACGGACTTTTATTTATTTATTGCTAAGGCCACAGACCGTGGGGAAGTTTTGCGCTGCTGAAGGGACACTGTCAGTGACGGCTGGGTCTCCGACTCAGAAAAACAAACGGGCTGCGTACATCCTACTGCTCAGTTACTTGTATAACTATTCAGCCACAATCTCTTCTTAGAGTGAGCCTGGCCAAATGAAGCAAAAGGAGTGGGAAAGAGCCTGTGCTAAAAGCTCGTTTGGTCTGAGTGATGCAGGCTGCAATGCCAGCCCCAGTATGAGACCGCACGCTGCTCCCCAGCCCAGTCTGCCCATGCCGGTGTGTGTGGGATGGGGAAGGGGTCACCAGCACCTGCTTTAAACCTGCCAGGAGTGAGTCGGTCCCGGCAGGGCAGGGTGGTCCCTTCCCAGCTTTCAGTGCACAGCTCTGCAGCGCTGGACACTGCAAAATGGTACCCAAAATACCCAAAGAACTGGGATGCCAGTAGAAAGCACCCACCAGCAACACAGGCTGTAAAGGTCTCATGGTCTCCAAAACCACCTCCTGCACTTTGCTGAAGGGGAAGGGGGATGAGAAAAGTTAACATGTGCTGCTCAAAGGTTTATGTTTAGGAATATCCACCCTGCAGGGTTTCTGCTGGGGCTCTGCAATTTTCTATAGACCTGACTGCTCAAGAACTCAGCAAAATGCTGTACGAGATTTTAGCCCTATCCAGCACCCTGCCCATCAGTGGATCTCAAAGCAGACAGAAAAGGCCACGAGTTCCCTCTGCTTTCCCCCTTCTTTTTCTACAACAGTGAAAACTGCAAAGTTGACTTTCATGAAAAAACAACAAAAGCCGTGAATTCGTCAGGAGAAGGGTAGGAGGTGAAGTTCAAGGAAAACCACCCAACGCTGCAAGACCTGTGATAAAATCCCAACAGCTCACAGCGCTGCCAGAGCCAGCCGAGGCCACGGGACAATACACCCCCCCAAGCCCTGTATTTTCTATCGCTGACCCCCACCGTGGAACAAGCCAACCTGCCAACGAAAGCACAGACGTTTCCTACTCGATGCTCTCACCTCCAAACCCCCTCAGGGCAATCTCCCGGGACTCAAAACATCCCCTGGCAAGGCACCCTGCGCTTCCCGCTTTGAAGGCTCAGACCCAGACCTGGTTATGGAGACAAGAAATCTGTAACAGCAAAGCTCTGCTCTCTTCTCCTTGGACGGAGACCAAAAGCGTGGCTTTCAAGCTGGACGGTGACAAAAGGCTCGGTGGCAGCGCCTCGCCCGCAGGCAGCCACGAGAGCCAGCCCGGGGGGGGCCCGACAAAAAACGGTGGCTGGAGCAGAGCGTTTTTCCCCTTCTCTGCTGAGCTCAAGGAGAGGTAGATAAATAAATCTAAGACTTCTTCAGTGTTACAACTGTCCGAACGGCTTAGGGTGAAAAAAATCTCAGGCAGAGGCATTTTTGCTTCTTGCATCTTGTGGCATAACTTTGTGCAAGCAGAACAGCACCTGGATAAGAAAACTTTGGTTTCTGACTACTGGCAGGACAAGATGAGTATCTCAGCAAGGCTTTCAGGCTCATTTTATCTCTCTGTACAGATTGCTATGACCTGCCAAACAAACCCACCCACCAAACACGGAAAGCGCAGACTCTCAGCATTTCTTAACGCTTTCCCATCTCTGGGGTCAGCAGCAGCACCGCCACCTCTGCTCCTCCGCAGCCCCACAAGCTCCTCTCTGCAGTTTACAAAACACTGCACAAGGGAAATGCCTGCCCATCAAGGGAATAACCTGGCTGGGCAGAAGGTCCAAGAGAGAAATACCAAAGGCCTGGTGACATCCCTGCGGGACGGATGGGCTCTCCTCCTCCAGTCAGCCCCAGCCCTGACGCAGCACCACAACCCTCTGCAGTTTCCTTCCCTCCGCCCTAAGGAGGAGGCTGATGCCTTCCTCCCTGGGAGCCTGAGCACGAGCCAGTCCAGCTAAGCTGGTGTAGAAACTAATCGAAGAGGAAACACCCACGTGTACTGGGGTCTTTATTCATCTGGCCAAAGTTTGGGTGCTGAGACCCCCTGTCCCTGCCCTGAGCATCAGTGCAACACGCTGCTTCGATCCAGCACGGCTTTACACCCCTGCCCTGCGCCTTCTGCAGCACGGACACACACACAGGGCAAGGGAGGCTTTTGGGGGGAGTTAATTGAGAAACCAAAACCTTCTCTCATTCCCACCTGATACGAGTGTCACTCCTAATAGCAAGTTAACAGACCAAGTGGAGTTTTACCGGTAAAAATGCTCCTGGGAGACATTTTGCATCCCTCAGTGGTCTGAACAGAAACATCAGAAGCATCAACCACAGACTAATTAGCTCCCTATTTTAATTAGCATTCTTGCAACAGTCCATAGCGGTCACCCCGACGCTGGTCGCGTCGCCGGCGAGCGACAGCGGCGCGGCATCCTGTGAGTAATGGACCAGTGCTAACAGCAATAAACCAAGGACTGGAAGTATAGAAAAGTAATTTATAAACATGCTGCTGCATTCTCGTTATATCAGCAGAGAAAACAAGCAATGCCATGAACTCTGTGTTTTGTGCACAGGGATGGGAAACTACCTGAAACACAGGATGTGTTGAATTCAGTAGCAATTAGTAGAAATTAAAGTTTCTGGTCAATTTAAAAGGCCTTTTGGCACATCTCACCTCCACCCTGTATTTATGAGCCCAGAGAGAGAATTGTCTTGGTGTTCTCTTTGAATATTCCTCAGCATCCTTTCCAGCAGGATTTTTACCTAAACTTTCCCTGTAAGAACTCCTCTTGCCTGGCACTCCCATTCTAGACTGGCTCCCATCCCAAACAACAGGAGAGCCCAAATCATATCTGCATTTGCATCCTGGACCCCTCCAGACAATCCGGCTTCCTCAGCTGGCTTCCTCAGCGGTGCCCGCAGCCGCAGGGACGGCAGCTCGCGGCGCTCCGCCCCAGCAGCCACCTCCCAGCCCCCGTCATCACCCTCGTCCCCGTGCCTTGGAAGGCAGCTCCAGCAGACCTCACCTTTCACATCCTCCGGGTTGTCAATAACAAAGTTCCCGTTCCAAACCACAGCGAAGTCCACTGCTAAGTTGCTTATGTCCATCCCGTCATAGAGATACTGAGGGAGAAGACGGAGAATGAAATGCTTGGCAGGACGTATCACAGACACTAACAGGAAAAGAAGATTTTTGTATTGAAACTGTGATTATTCTCTGCTTAAAAACATGCCCAGATATCTGAACCACCACACTACTACACTTCATCTCCAGGGTGCTGCTTTGACTCCCTCCTCCTCACCAGGAAGAGATAATTAAATCAGATCTAGTCCTTGGGAGAGGTAATAGATTAATTATTCCACTCACAGTGGCTGCTCTTGTCACTCAGTCTCTAGCTTATCAATACAGCCCCTCCAGTTAAGCAGACTGGAAGGACTGCTGCCTCCAGGCTATCTCTTATACAGTCACCACGCACCCCAGTGTGACTGGGAGCCTGGAAATCACGCTGCACAGCTTCGGCTGATGAAATAGGCAACAGCTGAGGAAAAATAGGTGGTGCAGAGAGGCTTCAGCCTAGTCTGGGATAGCGCTGCCTTGAATTATTCCCCTTCTCCTGGACATCCTGGGGGTCGTGGCTGAGGAATCTGGGTGCTTTATGTGAACTCCCAGTGTATTCTGAAATTCCCATTATCACACTTAGCACCAATTCATTCTGATGTTTTAAGTCAACCAAGAGCTGCTCAAAACACACACAAAGGTAAGTGAGCACTGCCATCCTCTTTGAGGTGAGGGGATGATGACTGAACCGAAGCAGCCTGCTTTCACAGCACCCATGCAGCAGCTGTGCCGTTGTAACTCACATTTGGTTGCACGGAGTCACCTTGTCTGGGGTTTTACGAAGTTGCTGATCTTCTGTTCAACTGACAGAGCTGTGAGCACAGAATTGCCCTTACACCCTCTACCTACTTCATCCTATTAGCCTAACAGGAATAAAAGTGCTTCCCTAATGTTTATAAATCACTTTGGATAGGAAAAGTACTATATAATATTAATACATTTATTATCCAGCAAGCTGCAAGGCCCAAAGACGGCCAGCGATATATAAATATCCAGTGAAATTTTTAAAAATTCAAAACTTCATTAACAATTTAAGACCATCTGCACTGAATATTAAAGCAGACCCTGTTCTGCTGCCTAAAACAAACTGGATGCGCCCTGTCTGCCCACAGACCTCTTCGCACACGCGGCGAGGAGGGGAAGGACCATGCTGTCCCTTGCCTGTCCTCCAGCTGACGCATGCCACGCGGGACCCCAGCGTGGGCTGCGGCTTCGGGGGCCTGCATTTGCCATACCTGTTTCTGCACCCCTGAGTACCTTCCATGGTGACTTTGGGCATTCTGGGGTTAAAATCCATTGGCAGGGCTAAGCCCCATCCTAGGGAGGAAAGCTATGCTCCCCCGCCTGCCTCACCGGCGGCATCGTTCAGATAATTTCCCTCTCTCTGCTGGCCACGCTCTCCCCCGGGGCAGTTTTCCTATCCCCCCCCTTCCCCGCACCACGCTGCTTTTCAGCATTGCTGTATTCATCCAGCGACCGTGACCTGGAATTCGACAGCTCCCCGATAAGGGGTCTGTGATTTGCCTTATCTCCCCCGTGTGAATTAGCCTGCCTTAACACCTTCCTCGCATTCCCTCCTCCTCCTCCCCGCTGACCCCCCACAGTCAGACAGGGAACCTCCAGGTAAAGGACCTTCTCCCAGCTGCTGACGAAGCACCTCACGTGCCCACGGCAGGTTCCCACCTCGAATTTGGGATTAGTTTAACTCCCGGACTTTTCGCTCTCCCCGCGGCTGAGCCAACCCCTTCGCGGGCGTCCGGAGCTGACACCCATTTTGGGCACCTGTTCCCCTCCCGGCCCCTCACCGAGCTGTTCTGGCACTGGACGCTGGAGCTGTTGAAGCGCAGGGCGGGCACGCGGTGGATCACGCCCTGGATGCTGAGGACGCACTCGTACCCGCGCTGGCCGGACTGGGGCTGCGGCAGGTTTCTCGCCTTCAGCGTGATGGGTTTCACCTCTCCCACCGGGATCAGGATCTCCTCCGTGGGGAAGAGCTGGGGACAGTCCTGGGGGGCAAGAAAAGAGAGGGGGAGGTTACGGTGGTGATGGTGCGTCCGCAGGTCTGGCCAGGTCTCAGCCTCCCTGCGCCAGTGGCAGGGGCGACATCCCAGCACATCTCCAGCACATAGGACTGACGTCCCAGCACATCTCCAGCACATAGGAGCGACGTCCCAGCACATCCCCAGCACGTAGGACCGATGTCCCAGCATGCAGGACTGACGTCCCAGCACACCGCCAGCACACAGGACTGACGTCCCAGTATGCAGAACTGACGTCCCAGCACATCCCCACACGCAGGACCAACGTCCCAGCACATCCCCACACACAGGACCGACGTCCCAGCACATCCCCAGCACGCAGGACCGATGTCCCAGCACATCCTTTCCACCCCAGCCCGGGAGCAGCGAGCCCAGCCAGCGCAGGGACCCCGCCAGCCCCACGGTTGGGAGGAAGGCGATGTCCCAGCTGAGCTCGGTGAACGCAGAGGCAGCAGCAGTGGCTCCTGCTGCAGATCAAAGCCTTCCTGCACCTCTGGGATGCAACCGGGAGCCGCTCCAGGAATGCATTTCTCTGAGTCAAATGCAAATTCAGAAATCTGTCACTGCCAGGGCCTTACAGGACGATCTATCGCCCTGCCAGGCCAGAGCAAGGCCATTTCGGGAGACAACCAGAAAAAACGGAGTGATGCCAAGCTCCCGGAGCAGAATCACAGAATGTTCGGGGTTGGCAGGGACCTCTGTGGGTCACCCAGCCCAACCCCCTGCCCAAGCAGGGTCACCCAGAGCAGGCTATAGAGGACCTTGTCTGGGTGGGGCTGGAATATCTCCAGAGAAGGAGACTCCACAGCCTCCCTGGGCAGCCTGGGCCAGGGCTCCATCACCCTCAGTAGCAGAGATGCTCCAGTCCCCTCTTCATCCTCGTAGCCCTCCGCTGGGCTCTCTCCAGTAGCTCCTCATCTCTCTTGAACTGTGGAGCCCAGAACTGGAGCGGGGAGAGGCTGCTCAGTGGGAGTCCAGAAGGGAGGGACGGGGAAGCTGAGACGAAACAGCACCAAGACGTTTCTCTTCAGGCTTCTCCTGCTTCGGAGCTGAAGCCTCCTGCAGGGAAGGGG